CCAAACCCGACCCGGCGCTGCTGCCCCCCCCGCTGCCGGCCTTGCCCCCCAAACCCGACCCCCGTGGGGCCAAGGGCACCTTGGAGGGGCCGGGGGAGCGGGGTCTGGCCGCCCTGGACATCCCCCAGCCCGCCGCGACCCCCCGCCGCCCGCTGCTGAGCCAGGCCACCTGGGGGGGCCCCGAGGGCCCCCCAGAGGGAAGCAGGGCCCCCCCGCCGCCCCTGGACCACCCCACAGCCTCCCCGCACCCCTCGGCCGGCGCCCGCCGCCTCCGCCTGGCCGGTCCCAAACCCCCCAAAGCGGGGGGCGGCGGGGGGAGCCGCGGGACCCCCGAGCCCCGAGGGGGCAAAGCCCCCGGCAAAGCGGCCGGCAGCCGCCTCTCGTGGCCCGAGGGAGAGGGCAAGGGGCGCCCCAAGGCGGGGGGCAAGAGCGAGGGGCCCCCCCGGGCCCGGCTGTCCCCCAGCAAGGGCAAGAGCAAGACCCTGGACTACAGCGACCTGCAGCCGGGGGGTCTGGTGCCCGCCCCCGCCCCCGAGACCGGGCTCAAGCGGGGACGCGAGGGGGGTCGCGCCTCCACCCGCGACCGAAAGATGCTCAAGTTCATCAGCGGCATCTTCACCAAGAGCCCTGCGGCGACCCCCACCCACCCCGCGCCCCCCTGGTCTCCCCCCGGCGCCGACCCGGCCAGTGCCACCCCCCACAGTGAGTACCGGCCCGCGGGAGCCCGGGGGTCGCCCCGGCCGCGGCTCGGTGTCCCCACGCCCCTCGGTGACCTGGGCCAGTTGTAGCGGTGCCCACTGTGGCCGTGGTGTTGTGCCTCAGTTTCCCTGGAGGGCGGAGGAGGCGGCCGGACCCCCGGGGCTCGTGTGGAGCAGCGGGACCAGTCTGCTCCCCGTGGCTGTGGGGTTCGGGGGGCTGTGGGGTATGGGAGGTTTGTGGGGTGGGGGCTGTGGGGTTTAGGAGGGCTGTGGGGTTCAGTGGGGCCACAGCGGTTCAGGGCTCTGTATGTTCAGGGGGCTGAGGGGTTCAGGGGGCTGTGGGGTTCAGGGCTCTGTCGGCTCAGGGGGGCTGTGACCCCCGGGCTGGGCCGGGCCGTGTTTGTGCCCTGGGGCCATGTGCGGTGCCCGATTCGGCGGGGTGGGGTGCTGGCTGTGGGGGGATCCCCATGGTGGGGATCCTGTCCCTCAGTTTCCCCACTGGGGGAACTCCAAGGGAGTCAGGAGCGACCTCCCCCTCCGTCGTTCTGTCCCGCCATCCGTCCGTCTGTCCTCGCCTCCATCCGTGCGTCACACCCGTGCATCCTGTCCCCCATCTGTCCGGCCGCCGCGCGGCCCCCCCGTGTCCTTCTGTCCCCCCCCGGCATCCCCCTGTCTGCCTGCACGCACCTTGGCACCGCGGGGTGCGTGGGCAGCACCTGCAGGGCCGGGGGTGGCAGCTCGGTGACAATGTGAGGGGTGACAGGCAGCAGCGTTAACCCTTTCCCGGCTGGCGCGTGCGTGGCACGGAACCGGCTCCGTGTTGTGGCGGAAAGTGAGGCACAGAAAGGGGGGCACCCTCTGGCTGTGTCCTGCCTCAGGTTCCCCCTTTGTGGTGCCACCGCTGCCCAGAGGGGCTGGGGATGCCAGGTAGGAGATGTGGGGGGCACAGGGCACGTCCTCATGGCATGCCAGGTGCTTGTGCCACGCCGTGTCCTTGTGCCACATGCGCTGCGCTCTGGTGCCACCACAGCCTCGTGCCCATCGTGTGCCACACTGTGTCCTCGTGTCATGTCCTGTCCTCATGCCACACCATGTCCTTGTGCCACACTGCATCCTCCTTGTGCCATGCCTTGTCCTTGTGCCACGCCATGTCCTGGTGTCCATTGTGTCCCTGTGCCACACCTTGTGCTCACCCCATGCTACATCCTCAGGCCTGGGGCTGTCATGCACCGCTGGCATCGTGTCCTCGTTCCCATCGTGTGCTGGAATCCATGGTGTCCTTGTGCCACCCCACATCCTCCTGCCATGCTGTGCCCTGGTGCCCGTTGTGTCCTCATGCCACATCCTTGTGCTACGCCGTGTCCCAGTGCCTGTCACGGCCTGGTGGCTCCCACTGTGTCCCCATGCCGCACCATGTCCTGATGTCACTCTGTGCCCTCACGGCTGTCACATCCTGGGATCCGTTGTGTCCTCATGCCACACCATGTCCTCGTGCCACCCGGTGTCCTGGTGCCCGTCGTGGTTCCCATCGCGTCCCCGTGCCACGCCGTGCTCTCCATCCCCGTGCCCACCGTGTCCCCGTGTCCTCTGCATCCTCGTGCCTTGGCACACGACGCCTCGTGCTGCCACGTCCCCGTCCCTGCCACGTGGCATCTCCACGTCCTCCCGCCGCCCCCGTGGGCCCGGTGCCGTTGCTGGGTGACAGCTGGTGGCCGCCCACGCAGGAAGCGGCTGCTGCGCCGCGGGGTGGGGTGGGGGCCCCCCGGGACTGGGGCTCCTGGGGGTGCCAGGGGCTGCTGGGGGTTGCCCAGGGGTTCCTGGGCTCTGTCTCACCCTTCTCCCTCTGCAGAGGCCTTGGTGAACAGCCAGGAGTGGACCCTGGGCCGCTCTATCCCCGAGATCCGCCTGGTGGGTGATGTGTCCCCGTGTCCCCGTGTCCCCTTGTCCCCATGTTCCCATGTCCACGTGTCCCCTGAAGACCATGTCCCCTGAAGACCGTGTCCCCAGCCATCCTGACATGCTCTCTGCCCACCCAGGGGGTCCTGGGCAGCAGCAAGAGCGGGAAGTCGGCGCTCGTCCATCGGTTCCTCACCGGCTCCTACGTGGGCTTGGAGCCCACCGAGAGTGAGTGATCATGGGGATGGACATGACCATGGGCATGGAATGGATGTCACCATGAGCATGGGATGGACGTGACCATGGGCACAGGGTGGTCATGACCATGGGCATGGGATGGACGTGACCATGGGCATGGAATGGATGTCACCATGAGCATGGGATGGAAATGACCATGGGCATGGAATGGACGTGACCATGGGCATGGGATGGATGTGACCATGGGCATGGGATGGACGTGACCATGGGCATGGAATGGATGTCACCATGAGCATGGGATGGACATGACCATGGGCATGGAATGGATGTCACCATGAGCATGGGATGGACGTGGCCATGGGCATGGGATGGATGTCACCATGAGCATGGGAAGGACGTGACCACAGGCACAGGATGGTCATGACCATGAGCATGGGATGGATGTGACCATGGGCATGTCACAGGGATGGGTTCAGTGATGGAGTGTCCATGGAGATGGAGATGGAGGAGTGGACATATCCATGGAGCTGGGCATGGGATGGACATGTGGTGGGGTTGGGCATGACCAGGGGATGGACATGGTCATGGAATGGGCAAGGCCATGGTGCTGGGCATGGCTGTGGGCCCTTTGGGGTCAAAGTGTTGCTCACACATGGTGCTGGTCATGGCCATGGGAGGTTCCACCCACGTGGGCAGAGCACACCTGCAGGGTCTGCCCCTTCCCCTCCCCTCCCCCGCTGCAGGTGGCCAGTTCAAGCGTGAGGTGACAGTTGATGGCCAGAGCCACCTCCTGCTCATCCGGGAGGAGGCCGGTGCTCCGGATGCACAGGTACGAGGGGACCGGGGCTCGGGGGGGCCACGCTGGCCAGAGCCGAGCCCTGACCCCCGCCCGTGGCCCCCCAGTTTGCCAGCTGGGCGGACGCCGTCATCTTCGTCTTCAGCCTGGAGAGCGAGAGCAGCTTCGAGGAGGTGGCGCAGCTGCACGCGCTGCTCAGCGACCTCCGCGGCACCAGCGACGTGGCCCTGGCGCTGGTGGGCACCCAGGGTGAGCCGGGGGGGCACGGGGGGATCTGTGGGGGTGGGAGCAGCACGGGGCACCCCCAGCTGAGCCCCTGACTCCCCAGACAAGATCAGCTCGTCCAGCCCGCGGGCGGTGGAGGACGCGCGCGCCCGGGCGCTCTGCGGGGACATGCGGCGCTGCCTCTACTACGAGACCTGCGCCACCTACGGCCTCAACGTGGACAGGGTCTTCACCGAGGGTGGGTGACCGTCCTCTGGGGGGTGGGAGGGGGCTGGTAACGAGGTGAGGTGGGGACAGTGACCAGCGTGTGATGGGGACCATGGCCAGGTGGGATGGGAGGAGTGACCTGGTCAGACAGGGGTGGTGGCCAGCGTGGGAGCACATCTGGGTCGAGGGGAGTGGTGGCCACAGGGTCATGTCCAGGTGAGACAGGGACCGTGTCCAGGTGGGTGGAGACAGTGGACAGGGTAGTGCAGGGAACTGTGTCCAGGTGGGGCAGACCCTCGGCTGGGTAGGTCAGAGACCATGTCCACCCCAGGTGGGATGGGGGCCACATCCAGGTGGGATGGGGAGGGGGCCCATGTCCAGGTGAGATGGAGACAGTGTCCAGGTGGGATGAGGATGGGGACAGTGTCCAGGTGGGATGGGAACAGTGTCCAGGGGGGATGAGGATAGGGACACTGTCCAGGTGGGATGAGCATGGGGCCCGTGTCCAGGTGGGATGAGGATGGGGCCCATGTCCAGGTGGGATGAGGATGGGGCCCATGTCCAGGTGGGATGAGCATGGGGCCTGTGTCCAGGTGGGATGAGGATGGGGCCCATGTCCAGGTGGGATGAGCATGGGGCCTGTGTCCAGGTGGGATGAGGATGGGGCCCATGTCCAGGTGGGATGAGCATGGGGCCTGTGTCCAGGTGGGATGAGACATGCGGCGCTGCCTCTACTACGAGACCTGTGCCACCTACGGCCTCAACGTGGACAGGGTCTTCACCGAGGGTGGGTGACCGTCCTCTGGGGGGTGGGAGTGGGCTGGTAACGAGGTGAGGCGGGGACAGTGTGATGGGGACCATGTCCAGGTGGGATGGGAGGAGTGACCTGGTCAGACAGGGGTGGTGGCCAGCGTGGGAGCACATCTGGGTCGAGGGGAGTGGTGGCCACAGGGCCATGTCCAGGTGAGAGAGGGACCATGTCCAGGTGGGTGGAGACAGTGGACAGGGTAGTGCAGGGGACTGTGTCCAGGTGGGGCAGACCCTCGGCTGGGTAGGTCAGAGACCATGTCCACCCCAGGTGGGATGGGGGCCACATCCAGGTGGGATGGGGAGGGGGCCCATGTCCAGGTGAGATGGAGATAGTGTCCAGGTGGGATGGGGATGGGGATCATGTCCAGGTGGGATGGGGACAGTGTCCAGGTGGGATGAGGATGGGGACAGTGTCCAGGTGGGATGGGAACAGTGTCCAGGGGGGATGAGGATAGGGACACTGTCCAGGTGGGATGAGCATGGGGCCCGTGTCCAGGTGGGATGGGGACAGTGTCCAGGGGGGAAGAGGATAGGGACAGTGTCCAGGTGGGATGGGGACAGTGTCCAGGTGGGATGAGGATGGGGCCCGTGTCCAGGTGGGATGAGGATGGGGCCCATGTCCAGGTGGGATGAGCATGGGGCCTGTGTCCAGGTGGGATGAGGATGGGGCCCATGTCCAGGTGTGGGTGTCCAGGCTGGTGCCTGGGCAGGTGGGGTCTGTCCCTCCTGACTCAGGCTCCCTGCAGTGGCCCAGAAGGCCGTGGCGCTGAAGAAGCAGCAGCAGCTGATGGCGTCCTGCAAGTCCCTGCCCAGCTCCCCGAGCCACTCGGCCGCCTCCACCCCCGTGGGGGGCATCCACCCCAGCCAGGTAACCCCCCGCCCCCCGGCCTGGCCTCCGGGCACTGCCCAGACTGACCCCGTGTCCCCCCAGACCAGCAACGGTGGCCACACCAGCGACTACTCGTCCTCGCTGCCGTCCACGCCCAACGTGAGCCACCGGGAGCTGCGCAGCGAGACCCCGGCCCCGCTGGGCACGCCCAGCTCGCTGCACCGCGGGGCCAAGCGCCGCACCAGCCTCTTCGCCGTGAGTGCCCGGCCGGGGTGGCACCGGGGCCACGAGGCACCCTGGCACGGCGGTGGTGACACGGGGGGGATGCGTTATCCGGAACGTCATCCTGATGGGGTGGTGGCAGCAAGGGACATATGGCAGCCCAGGTGCCCCCTGGCAGGGTGGTGACATTGAGGGGCACGTGGCATCTCAGTTGTCCCCTTGGCATGGTGGTGGTGGCACTGAGGGACATGTGGGCATCTAGTGTGGGGATGGGGGACTGGCAGGGCACCCAGGGTGTCCCACCATGGGGCTTCTGATGTGTCCTCTAGCAGGGTTGAGGGGGACACATGGCATCCACACTGCCCCTGTGACGTGGTGGTGGCACTGAGGGACACGTGGGCACCCAGGGTGTTCCCACCATGGAGCTGCAGTGGTGGGGTCTGTGGCACCCCAATGTCCCCACCACCAGGCTCCAGCAGTGGGGGACATGTGGGCACGCCAGTGTCCCCAGCTGTGCCACAAGTGCCATCCCCTGTCCCCGCCCTGTGCCCGCAGACGCGCCGTGGCAGCGACTCTGAGAAGCGCAGCCTGGACAGCCGAGGCGAGGTGGCCGGCAGTGGCCGTGCCATCCCCATCAAGCAGGTGGGTGGTGGCAGTGGCAGGAGGCTGTGGCTGGGTCCCAGTGTCCCCTCTGTCCCCTCACTGCTCCCTGTCCCCAGAGCTTCCTGCTGAAGCGCAGCGGCAACTCCCTGAACAAGGAGTGGAAGAAGAAATACGTGACCCTGTCCAGCAACGGCCTCCTGTTCTACCACCCCAGCATCAACGTGAGTGTCCCCATCCCCCCGCGGTCCCCAAAGCGTGGGAGAGCCCGGTGTCACCCTCACTGTCCCCCCAGGACTACATCCACAGCACCCACGGCAAGGAGATGGACCTGCTCCGCACCACGGTCAAGGTGCCCGGGAAGCGTCCGCCGCGCGCCATCTCCGCCTGCGGCCCCTCGGCCAGCATCAACGGGCTGCTGCGGGACCCCGAGCCGGGCGGTGAGCACCAGGGGCACCGGGGGGTGCGGGGACACCGCGGGGACCTCTGTGACACCGGCCCTCCCCCTTGCAGGCAGTGTCCCCTCGGTGGGGCTGAGCCTGCCCCCCGAGCCAGGGCTGAAGGTGGTGGGCAAGGGGTCCCTGCAGCGCTGCGCCTCCGCCTCGGGCGCCAAGCTCGCCTCAGGTGAGTGACACCAGCACAGGCAGGGGCACGGCCACCTCCCGGGCCACCCACAGGGACGTCCCCATGGTGGCCTCCCTGAGCACGGTGACTCCTGAGCAGCTCAAGGACCTGGTGGTCCTTGGTGGCCCTGGTGGTTCTGGTGGCTCTGGAGGCCACAAGAACCCTGGTGGTCCTGGTGAGCCCTTGGTGGCCCTGGTGACCACAATAACCCTGGTGGATTTGGTGAGCTCAGGGACCTGGTGGCCCTTGGTGGCCCTGGTGACCACAATAACCCTGGTGGTCCTGGTGAGCTCAGGGACCTGGTGGCCCTTTGGTGGTGCTGGTGGCCACAGTGAAACTGCTGGCCCTGGTGAACATATGGACCTGGGAGTCCCAGAAGCCACAATGAACCTGGTGAGCCTGGTGAGCCCCGTGGCCCTGGTGACCTTCATGACAAGAGCCAAGAGTCTCTTGTGACCCTGGTGGCCCCAGGGATTTTGGTTGTTAAGACCAATGAACCTGGTGGCCTTGGGGCTGGGTCCTGGTGATCCCAGTGAGATCAGTGACCCTGGTGAGCTCTGATGACCCCAGTATGCCCAGCACCTCTGGGGGACTTCTAACCCTGGTGACCCCAGTGAGTCCAGTAGCTTTGGTGGCCCAAGTGGACTTGGTAACCCTGATAGGCCTGACCTGGGTGGTTCTGATGGACTTGGTGACCTTGGTGGCCTCAGTGGTCCTGGTGAGCTCCCTGGTCCTCAGGAGCCTGGTGATCCCAGTGACCTCAGTGTCCCTGGTGCCCCTGGTGCCCCTGGTGACCCTGGTGCCCCTGGGGACCCTGGTGTCCCTGGTGCCCCCAGCGCCCCTCGTGTGGTGTCTTGCAGAGTCCCCGTTGTCCTTCGAGGCCGTGTCCAGCCCCGGCAGCGCGAGGGACCCTCCGCCCTCGCCGCTGGTGGACAGGAAGAAGCACCGGCGGAAGAAGCTGATGACGCCGTCCAAGACCGAGGGCTCGGGTGGGCAGGCAGAAGGTGGGTGCCACAGCCATGTGTCCCCAGCCCCAGTCACCCATGGCACTGTGGGGACAAGGCCACCATCCTCCACGGCAACGACGCCCCAGAATTCGGGGGGATCTGGGGTGATGCTGCCCCTCACCCCCCGCCCATGCTCAGCCACGCTGTCCACGCATCCCCCTCGCTCTGCCACTGCCTGCCACCTTCTGCACCGTCCCCAGGGCTTCGTGGGCCCCCCTGACTCTGTCCCCGTTTCCTCTCTCTACTCCTGCTGCCCGGACCCTCCGCAGCCAAGCGCAAAATGTGGAAATTAAAAAGTTTTGGTAGTTTAAGAAATATTTATAAAACAGGTAACGTGGCGTGAGCGGTGCCTCCCGTGCATGTGGCTGTGCCCCCCTTGCCTGCTGCCAGCACACACCCCAGCAGGGGTGGGGACCACTGGGGAGGGGGGTTGGGCAGGATTTGGGTGCCAGTGGTGGGTGTGGGGGGCTGGAGTGGGTGCTGGGCCAGTCCAGCCCGCCGTGGGTGTAGGACCCCCATCCCACCGCCCCCCCGGGGGTCTCTGGTCCCGCAGAGGAGGAGAACTTTGAGTTTCTGATCGTGTCAAGCACGGGGCAGACGTGGCACTTCGAGGCCGGCAGCTTCGAGGAGCGTGACGCGTGGGTGCAGGCCATCGAGAGCCAGATCCTGGCCAGCCTGCAGTGCTGCGAGAGCAGCAAGAACAAGGTGGGACCTCGGCGGGGGCTGGCAGGGTGCCCGTGCCACCCCGCTGCCCCTCTCACCCCCGTGCCCCTCCCCGCAGGCGCGCATGGACAGCCAGAGCGAGGCCGTGGCCATCCAGGCCATCCGCAACGCCCGCGGGAACTCGCTCTGCGTGGACTGCGGGGCACCCAGTGAGTCCCGGGGACACCGGGGACAGCGGGGGCACGGGCGGGCAGGAGACAGGGGGGACATCCATTCGTGGGACAATGGGCAGCACAGGTGGGACATGGGACGGGGGGGACATCAGTTCATGGGACAGCGGGGGGCATGGGTGGGCAGGGGACATTGGGGACATCCATTCGTGGGACAATGGGCAGCACAGGTGGGCCATGGGACATGGGGGGACATCCATTCGTGGGACAGTGGGGGCATGGGCACTGCAGAGCCCTGAATCCAGCTGGCGGTGCCACGGGGTGAGATTGTGCCACGGGCCGTGGGCCACCTGGCAACCCTGTGGGCCACCTGATGCCACATGTGACACGATGCCGTGGGTCACGTGATGTCCTGGGTCATGTGTTGCCTTGTGCCACGCGGTGCCATGGGTCACATGATGGATGGTACAGGCCATGGGTCACACGATGGATGGCACAGGCCACACTGTGCCATGGGTCACACCATGCCAGTGTCACACAACGCCATAAGCCACACAGTGCCATAGGGCATGATGCCATGGGTGACAGGATGCCACGTGGTGCCATGGGTCACACCACTCGCTCTGCGTGGACTGCGGGGCACCCAGTGAGTCCCGGGGACACCGGGGACAGCGGGGGCACGGGCGGGCAGGAGACAGGGGGGACATCCATTCGTGGGACAATGGGCAGCACAGGTGGGACATGGGACGGGGGGGACATCAGTTCATGGGACAGCGGGGGGCATGGGTGGGCAGGGGACATTGGGGACATCCATTTGTGGGACAATGGGCAGCACAGGTGGGCCATGGGACATGGGGGGACATCCATTCGTGGGACAGTGGGGGCATGGGCACTGCAGAGCCCTGAATCCAGCTGGCGGTGCCACGGGGTGAGATTGTGCCACGGGCCGTGGGCCACCTGGCAACCCTGTGGGCCACCTGATGCCACATGTGACACGATGCCGTGGGTCACGTGATGTTCTGGGTCGTGTGTTGCCTTGTGCCACGCGGTGCCATGGGTCACACGATGGATGGTACAGGCCATGGGTCACACGATGGATGGCACAGGCCACACTGTGCCATGGGTCACACAACGCCATAAGCCACACAATGCCATAGGGCATGATGCCATGGGTGACAGGATGCCACGTGGTGCCATGGGTCACACCATGCCAGGGTCACACAATGCCACAAGCCACACAATGCCATAGGACACGTCATGCCATGGGTGACACGACGCCACACGGAGCCATGAGCCACCACGTGCCATGCCCTGTGTCACACCATGTCCCACACCATGGGGACCCCGGGGGTGCCACAGCTCAGCCGGCACCCCAACCACTCCCCCCGTGGTCACACCATGCCAGGGTCACACAACACCATAAGCCACACAATGCCATAGAACATGATGCCATGGGTCACACGATGCCACAAGCCACACAATGCCATAGGACATGATGCCATGGGTGACACGGTGCCACGTGGTGCCATGGGTCACACCACGCCAGGTCACACCATGCCAGGGTCACACAATGCCACAAGCCACACAATGCCATAGGACACGTCATGCCATGGGTGACACGACGCCACACGGAGCCATGAGCCACCACGTGCCATGCCCTGTGTCACACCATGTCCCACACCATGGGGACCCCGGGGGTGCCACAGCTCAGCCGGCACCCCAACCACGCCCCCCGTGACCCCGCAGACCCCACGTGGGCCAGCCTGAACCTGGGCGCCCTGATCTGCATCGAGTGCTCGGGCATCCACCGCAACCTGGGCACGCACGTGTCGCGCGTGCGCTCGCTGGACCTGGACGATTGGCCGCGGGAGCTGACCCTGGTGCTCACGGCCATCGGCAACGCCACGGCCAACAGCATCTGGGAGCAGAACCCGCGCGGCCGCTGCAAGCCCACCCACGAGTCCTCCCGGTGCGTCGCCCCCGCCCCGTGTGCCCCCCCGTGTCACCCCTTGTCCCTGTGCCGCCGCATGGTCCTGTCCTGTGTGCCACCGTGATGGTGAGCTGGCATGCCTGGTGTCACTGGGTGTGCCTGTCCTCTGTGCCGCCGTGATGCCACCTAGCCATCCTTGATGCTGCCACATGTCCCTGTCCTCTATGCCACCGTGATGGCACCCTGCCATCCCTGATGCCACCACATGTCCCTGTCCTCTGTGCCACTGTGATGCCACCCAGCCATCCCTGATACCACTACAAGTTCCTGTCCCCTATGCCCCCGTGATGCCACCCTTACCTCCCTGATGCCCTGTGTCCCCACCCCGTGTGTCACTGCTGTGCCATCCCATGGACTCTGATGCCCCTTCCCCTCACATCATTGCGGTGCCACCCCATGCCCCCAATGCCCCCATGTCCCCACCCCCCTGTCCCTTGTGACCCCACAACCCAGCAATGCCACACTGACACCCCTGCACTTCCTGACACCCCTGTGTGGCACCTCCCGTGCCACCCTGCTGCCACCCTCTGTCCCTGACCCTCAGGTGTCACCCAATTTTCACTCTCCCTGTCCCTGCGATGCCACTATGCACCCCTGCCACCTTTGTGTCCCCATGGCCACATCCTTGTGTCCTCCCATTACGGCCGTGCCCCATGCCCAGAAGGAGCAGGAATTGCATCTCTACGTCCCCGTGGTGCCACCCTGCCGTCCCTAACACCCGTGTCCCTCTGTCCCCATGCCCTGGGAGGAGCAGGAATTGCAGCTCTGCGTCCCCGTGGTGCCACCCTGCCATCCCTAACACCCATGTCCCCATGCCCTGGGAGGAGCAGGAATTGCATCTCTCCATCCCCATGGTGCCACTTAGCCATCCCTAATACCCGTGTCCCCATGCCCTGGGAGGAGCAGGAATTCCATCTCTGCATCCCCGTGGTGCCACCCTGCCATCCCTAACACCCGTGTCCCCGTGTCCCTGCCATCCCTAACACCCATGTCCCCATGCCCTGGGAGGAGCAGGAATTGCATCTCTCCATCCCCATGGTGCCACTTAGCCATCCCTAATACCCGTGTCCCCATGCCCTGGGAGGAGCAGGAATTCCATCTCTGCATCCCCGTGGTGCCACTTAGCCATCCCTAACACCCGTGTCCCCGTGGTGCCACCCTGCCGTCCCTAACACCCGTGTCCCCGTGCCCAGGGAGGAGAGGGAGTCGTGGATCCGTGCCAAGTACGAGCAGCGGCTGTTCCTGGCGCCGCTGCCCGCGGCCGAGGCGCCGCTGGCCGAGCGGCTGCTGGGGGCCGTGGGCCAGCAGGACCTGCCCGCCGTGCTGCTGCTGCTGGCCCACAGCCACAAGGAGCAGCTCAACGTGCCCACGGCCGACGCGGAGCGGCGCACGGCGCTGCACCTGGCCTGCGACACCGCCCAGGTGGTGGTCACCCAGCTGCTGGTGTGGGTACGTGGGGCACGGCTGGGTGGGCAGCGCGTTGGGCGGGGGGAGTGGTGGGGTCTTGGGGGGGATTTGGGGGATGTGGGTTTGTGGTGGGTGCTGTGGTACGGACATGAGGAGGATGACATCGTTCTGGGGACTGTGACATGGGTCTGTGACACGATGCCACGTGTGGCATGCCACATGTGTGGGGGATGTGGTGGGGTCGTGGGGACTATAACATGGGTGTGGGGGATGTGGTGGGGTCGTGGGGACTATAACATGGGTGTGGGGGATGTGGTGGGGTCGTGGGGACCGTGGGGTGGTCGTCAGGGACATGGTGTGGTCTTGAGGGATGTGGGGTGGTCATGGGGACATGGGGTGGTCATTGGGGATGTCATGTGGCCTTGAAAGATGGGGGGTGGTCTTGGGGACCGTGGGGTGGTCATCAGGGACATGGTATGGTCTTGAGGGATGTGATGTGGTCATGGGGACCGTGGGGTGGTCATGGGGGACAGGGTGTGGTCTTCAGGGATGTGGGGTGGTCATGGGGACCATGGGGTGGTCATTGGTGGTGTGGTGTGGCCTGGAGGGATGGGGGGTGGCCTGGGGAACCGTGGCATGGCCAGGAGGCGAGTGACACGGCCATGAGGACTGTGGGTGGCTTTGGGGGATGTGGTGTAGTCATGGGGTGGCCATGGGGGGTGTGAGGTGCTCATGGGGCACCTGGAGGGGGCTTGGGGATCACAGCACAGCCAGGGGGAAGATCATGGGATCGTAGGGACCTTGAGGTGGCTGTGGGCTTGTGGTGCTGCCGTGGGGGATGTGGGGTGGTCTTGGGCACTGTGGCGTGGCCAGAGGACAGATGGCAGGGTCATGGGGGACATGGGGTGGTGATGGGGAATGTGATGTGGTCATGGGGACATGGGGTGGTCTTGGGGATATGGGGTGGTCATTGGGGTTGTGGTGTGGCCCTGAGGGATGTGGGATGGTTTTGGAAACCATGGCATTGCTGGGAGGAGAGTGACGTGGCCATGAGGAGCATGGGGTGGCTTTGAGGGACGTGGTGTGGTCCTGGGGGATAGGGTGTGGTCTTGGGGACCATGAGGTGGTCACCAGGGGCATGGTATGGTCTTGAGGGATGTGACGTGGCCATGAGGACCGTGGGGTGGCTTTGGGGGACACGCTGTGGTCATGGGGGACGTGGTGCACTCTTGGGAACAATAGCATGACCATGGGGGGACACGAAGCGCCCATGGCAATCCTGCGATGTGCCAAGACACCCTGGGGGGACACGGGGGGTGTGACCCATCCCCGAGGGACGCCCCACGGCCTCCAGGGACGTGCGGTGGCCCCGCGGGTGACGCGCGGCTGTGCCCGCAGTACGGGGCCGACGTGCGGGCCCGGGACGGTCACGGTCGCACGGCGCTGTTCTACGCCCGCCGCGCCGGCAGCCGCGAGTGCGCCGACATCCTGCTGCAGCACGGCTGCCCNGACCCCCGGCGGCCGCCCGACCCCCGGGCCCCGCCGCCGCAGCAGCTGCGCCAGCGTGGGTCCCTGCGAGCCCCGCTCCGCCCTGGTATAGCCCCGAGGGGCCCGGAGCCCCCCGGAGCCCCCCGGTGCCCCCAGGTGCCCCCCGGCTGTGAGTGCCCGCTGCCCGGGGTCACCCCGGTGCCACCCCCGGGGTCGCCCCTTGCCCACGGTTTGTACTTTTGATGCTCTATTTATTATCCTTTCCATGTCGGGGTCTCCGCTGGTCCTGTCCCCCTCTCCGTGCCAGGGACCCCCGTGCCAGGGGTCACAGCGATGCCACTGCCACCTTCCTGTCCCCTCCGCGGGGTATTGTGCCCCAGCGTGGGGTGGGCACAGCTGGGGTGGGGGTACTGACGGCGGGGCGACCCCTGCCCGTGTCATCCTTGCTCATGCCGTCCCCTGTCCCTGTCACCCCCGCCCTTGTCACCCTCACCCCCCACCCCATTGTCCCCTGCTCACATCACCCTGTCCTACCCCTGTCCCCGTTCCCTCGTGCTGTGTCCCCCCGTGGTGCCACCCTGCCATCCCTAACACCCATGTCCCCATGCCCTGGGAGGACCCCGTTAATTTATTGCTTTGTTTAGCGATAGGATAGAGCCAGACCCTCCCCCCGCGGGGGGGCACAACCGGCGGGACCCCCGACCCCCTCCCGCCGGCATGGGGGGGCCGCCGCGTCCCCCTCCCTCCCGGGACCCCCCATGAATGTAGGGGCGCCCCAGCTGTGACGCCCCAGAGACGCCCAGCGTTTTCATCTCTCGGGTGTGACTGTAAGTACGTGACAATGTCGGACACTGGTGCTGTGACACGGCTCGTCCTTCCCGGGGCACACGGGGGGCACGGGGGGCACGGGGAGACACGAGGGGACATGGAGGACACTGGGGACACGGGGGTGGCAGGAACGCAGCGGGGCACAGGGGCATGGAGGGGCACGGGGAATACTGGGGGACATGGAGAGCACAGGGGGCACAGGGGGGACACAGGGGACACAGCGGGGCACAGGGGACATGGAGAGCACAGGGAACACAGCGCACTGGAAGCACTGGGGGGCACTGGAGGACACGGGGGGGACCCCGAGGGGCACTGGGGAGGGGTCGCAGCTCCGGTCCGTGCCCCACCGGTCACCGGCGCCCCCCCTCCCCGAGAGGAACTGAGAGGTGGGGGCGGGGCCTGGGGGCGGGGCAGCACCGTGGTAGGTGTGACCATCTGAGCTGGGGCGGGGTTTGCATAGTAATGAGATGGGCGGGGCCGGAGGGGGGGGCACAGGGGACACAGGGGACAAAGCGGGGCACAGGGGACATGGAGAGCACAGGGGACACGGGGGGCACAGGGGACACGGGGGGGCACAGGGGACACAGGGGACACTCGTGCGGGGCGTTAGTGGCACGGAGGGTGGGTGACACGGGGGGCGGAGGCCATGGCGGGTGAGTGACACCGTCACACGGGGGGTGGGTGACAGTGGGGACACGCCGGGTGGGTGACACAGGTGGCACTCGGGGGTCAAAGAGCCGAGGTAGGGGCACCCCGGGGGGAGGGTCACACAGCGACAGGGTACCGGCGCCCCCCCCTCCCCGAGAGGAACTGAGAGGTGGGGGCGGGGCCTGGGGGCGGGGCAGCACCGTGGTAGGTGTGACCATCTGAGCTGGGGCGGGGTTTGCATAGTAATGAGATGGGCGGGGCCGGAGGGGCAGTGACTTGATGTAGGACGTCCCTATGTAAATAAGGGGGCGTGACCAACAAATATTATTATTATTCAAAGGGCGGGGCTTGATAGGTAGGCGAGGCTGTGACGTAAACTATGTGGGCGTGGTTACACTGGCGAGTGCAGTGGGCTGTGCCTGTTGTGTGGGCGGGGCTTAGTGGGGTGCGGCCACATGTGGGCGTGGTCTGTGGGACTGGGCGGAGCCAACAGCGCCCGGCTGCAGCCGCAGGACAGCGACGTGCGGAGATGGGGAGGGGACACTCTGGGGGGCTCGGGGGGGCTGTGCGGGGACAAGGAGCGGCTCAGGGACACAGGGGTGCCAAAATCGGCCATCTTGTCTTGTACCGCCCCCCAGCCTTGGGCAACCCCCACCCCCAATGTCCCCTCCTCACTGTCCCGCCCCCACTGTCCCCTCCTCACTGTCCCCTCCTCGTCCCCAGCCGCTGCTCCCGTCACCACCCGGGCGGTCCCCCAGCTGTCCCCTGCCACCCTCCCAGCCCCGCTGTCCCTCACTACCACCAGCTCAGAGGCGCTCACAGCTGCAGGACCTGTCCTTGTCCCCAGCTCAGACCGTGTCCCCCTGTCCCTCTGCCCCCCTGTCCCTCTGTCCCCCTGTCCCTCTGTCCCCCTGGCTCCCTGTCCCCCTGCCACCCTGATCCCTGTTCCTCTGTCCCCGGCTCTCCCCACCCCGTGGGGTCCCGCAGACCCCCCAGAGGGACAGGGGGGCTCCCTGTCCCCCTGCCACCCTGCTCCCTGTCCCTCTGTCCCCGGCTCTCCCCCCACCGTGGGGTCCCGCAGACCCCCCAGAGTGACAGTGGGACCCTCCCCCCCCGCTCTGTCCCCGGATCAAGGCCATCATATCCCCGCAAAGCTCATTAATAGCCGCTAATTAGGGCCACCAGGGTCCGCCTGGGGGGCGCGGGAGATGGGGGGGATGTGTCTCAGGGCATTTGGGGTCTCCAGGGCAGGAATGGGGGGCGGCTCCCCCCACTGCAGGGACCCCCAAATACGGAGCCTCCTTCACCCCGCAGCCCGGGGGGCACCATCCCCTCTCCACTGCTCCCGACCCCCAAAATTCCCCCAGGAGCTGAGGCAATCACTTGCGGGGGTCCAGGGATCCGGGGGGGGGGGTGGTCCAGGGACCTGGGGGGGTTCCAGGGACCTGGGGAGGTGCCACAGGGTCACGGTCACGGGGGTCCGTGGGGGCCTGGGGGGGCAACACGGGGGACCACGGGGACAACAGGGACTTGGGGGGGGCACTGTCACCATGGAGGGACACCCTGAGGGGGGCACAGCCACCAAGGGGGGCCAGCACGGTCACACGGAGAGCGGGGACACGGCCAGCTCAGCCACGGAGGCGGCGACGGGACAGGAGGGGACAGGAGGGGAGGGTCCCCACAGAGGGGCCTGGCAGTGCCTTGGGGTCCTGTCGGGGTCCCACCACCCAGAGCCCCCCCGGTGGGACCCTTCCCCCCTTCCCCAGCTCCGTGCCCTGCTCAGACACCTCCGGTCCCTCCCCGGTCCCCCCAAAGCCCCGCGGCCCCGTCCCGCTCCCGGCACCCCGGATCAGGGCCACCCAATCCCGCAAAGCTCATTAACAGCCGCTAATTAGGGCCACGCGGGTCCGCCGGGGACGCGCGGTTGGGGTGGGCGCAGGACACGGGGGGGGCTCGGGGCATTTGGGGTCCCAGGGCAGGAGTGGGGCGATGTGGGTGGGGGGGGTCTTCCGGCACACCCCACTGCAGGAACTCCCCAAATTTGGGGCCACGTCACCGCAGGGGAGTCCGGGAAGGGGACGGGCAGGGCTCGGGGGCTTTGGGTGCTTGGGGACCGGGGTGGCTCCGGGTGGCGTTGGGGACCGCGGGGGTCCAGGGGGCTGTGGGGACCGCGGGGGTCCCGGTGCCGTTGGGGACCGCGGGGGTCCAGGGCGCGTTGGGGGTCGCGGGGGGGCTCAGGGGGGGCCGGTAGCGGGGTCGGTAGCCGTAGGGGCGCAGCCGCTGGCTCAGGTACTCCAGCGCGTACATCTCCTCCCCGGACACGTAGTGGAAGGACACGGCCAGGTCTGAGCAGCACTGCGGGCCCTGGGGGGACACAGGGGACACTGAGGGGTGGCACCGGGCACCCAGGGCCCCCCCGCCCCCTTGGTGCCACGGGGCAGGGTGGGGAAGGGGCGCTGGGGGTTGTTCCTGGTCAGCAGAGCCCCTGGCAGGGGCAGTGCCAGCGCAGAGGCCACAGGGACACAGAGGGGACACCTGGTGACAGCGGGGACACCACGGCTGGAGTTTGGGCCCCACGTAGGGGGGACAGGCTGGGGGCTACGGCCATGGGAGGGGATCGTGGCTATGCGGGGAGCACCAAGGCCACCGTGGGCACACAGGGGGCACCTGTGGCCAGGTGTGAGGGGGGACACGGTGGCCACGTGGGGGACACACTGGTCACACACAGGGTAGGAATGTCCTGGCATGGCTGGGGACCTCACGGGGATTTGAGGGGCCATGCCATGGCCCCCATGGCCGTGGTGGCAAGACACGGCAGCCAGGCATGGGGGTGACACGTGGCTGCACCTCGAGGGTGTCACGGCCACAGGAGGTGACCAGGGACAAGCGGGGGGGTCGTGGCCACGCACGGTGGGGACACCAGAGCCACACAAGGGGTCCGTGGTTGTGTTACAGCCAGGTATGGTGGGGACAGTGCCACCCAAAGGGCGGTGGCCGCTCTCAGGGAGACAGTGGCCACTGTGGGGTACTGAGGATACACGTGGGGGGTCTGGCCGTGCATGGGGGTGCACGGTCACTTGTGGGGGTCCACAACCACCCCCGCCAGCTGCCCAGACAGTGACAGGGTCCCCCCTTGAGCTGTGACCCACCTCCACGACGGGGTACCAGCTGTAACTCCGGTACCAGAAGCCCGGGGCGAAGCGGTGCGTGAGGTGGATCTCGGGCGGGAAGGGGTGGAAGGTCTCCCGTCCCCACGTGTCCCTCGAGTCCCCCACAGCCACCCCCAGCCTCTCCAGGCACCGTCCCAGCGCCACGTCCTCCTCGGGGCCGCCGTGGCCGCAGGTGCCGCGGGCCAGGGCTGCGGCCGCTCGGGCCAGCGCCGCCCGGCTGAGCACGTAACCGGCCCCGCCGCTCATGTAGCCCTGGCGGGCGAAGGGTCGGAAACGCTTCCCGAAGTAGAGGGGCCGCTGGGGCGAGTGCGCGGCCAGCAGCCAGCGCAGGTTGTCCAGCAGCACGAAGGTGTCGTCGTCGGCCTTGAGGAACCAGTGTGCGCGGGCGCGGAGGTGCCGCTGCACGTAGAGCAGCGCCCGCGCGGTTTTGCGGTAGAGCTGCCCCCGGCCCTCGGGCACCCCCAGCCCCAGGGCCGGGAAGTGCGGGGCGGGCTCGGAGCTGACGAACAGGGCCACGTTGCAGTGTCGCGCCCAGGTGTCCCGCACGTGGCGGGCTTTGCTCTCCAGGTTTTGGGGCGCTGTCATCACCCAGCACAGCACCCGCACCCGCTGGAACAGCCCCCGCGCCACCCCCGCGTCCTCGCCTGCGGGACAAGGAGCGCGGAGCAGAGAGCTCGATGTCCCCGCGTTGTCGCCGTCGGGGCGTGGTCACCGTCCCCAAGCACTGGAGCAGAGGGGGTGAGGCCCCCCCACGCTCCCCTGCCGGCCCCACCCCGGCAGAGTCCCCCGTGTCCCCTCCCAGCGCCACCCGCCCTGGCAGCAGCGCCCACCTGCAGCGTCCGACGGGGCCGCGCCGTAGAGCACGGGGGACGGGGGGGTCCCGGGGGGGGCATCGGCCACCCGGGGGTCCCGGCTGGGGGCAGGCACCGGCTGGGGCAGCAGGAGGCCGTGGAGGAGGAGGAAGGTGGTGATGAAGCCCACCAAGAGGCCCCCGTGGAAGGAGAGGCGCGGGCTCTGCAGGCCCCGGAGCGGCATGGGGCCACCTGGTTTGGGAGTGTGGGGGTCAGTGGGGACCCCCCCGGGACCCCCCAGCCGCTGCGGCTTCGTCTGCCACTGCCACCGACCGGGGTGGAGCCCGTGGGGTGGGGGACAAGAGAGAGCCACGGAGGGTGGGGTGACACACACGGAGAGGGGGTGACACCCAGGGGGCAGAAATGGCACCCCGAGCCGGGCACCCAAATCCAGGGGGTGCAGGGTGGGTGACACTGAACAGACACCCCAAATCCAGGGGGTGCAGGGTGGGTGACACTGAACAGACACCCCAAATCCAGGGGTGCAGGGTGGGTGACACTGAACAGACACCCCAAATCCAGGGGGTGCAGGGTGGGTGACACTGAACGGGCACCCCAAATCCAGGGGGCGCAGGGTGGGTGACACTGAACCCGTTTTCAGTTAGGGGGGGACAGTGGTGACCTCTCCCCCCCGACCCCTGGGTTATCCTCCCGTGGGGGGGCAGTGGGGGCGAGGCGGGTGGGGACGGGGGGAGTTCTGGCACGGGGGGTGCCGGTGTGGCCTCACCTGGTGCCGAGGGTCGGGGGTCCCGGCTCAGCCCGGGGGTCCCAATGTTGGTTCCTGGGTGGGTTGGGGGCCCTGCTGGGTCCCAGCGGATCCGGGGGTCCCGGGGGCTCCGCTGTCCCCGAGGGCTGGTACAGTCCCGGTGGTCCCGGTCCGTCCGGGGGTCCCGGGGGCTCCGCGTTCCCCGCCCCCCGCGCTCCCATTGGCCGAGGCCGGGCGAGCCCCTGGCCCCGCCCTAATTCTGATTGGCTGCCGCGCTCACCGCCCCGCCCCTCCCCGCAATTTTGGGGGTGAGGAACGTAGACCCCGGGACGGGGGGGACACAGGCACAGCCCGGGGTGACCTCGGTTTATTGATAAAACGGGGGGGCGAACGACTCCGCGACATCTCATTATGAGAGAGAGACCCCCCGGGCCGGGGGCAGCACGAACGGCTCCAGTGGCAACAGGACCCCCCCAAGCGGTAATTGTCCTCCAGAGCCTGCTGCCGCCGGCGCTCCTTCTGCGCCTCCTCCGTGCCCTGCACCTGGGAACAGCGCCCACTCAGTGCCCCCATCCCCTCAGCTCAGCGCCCACTCAGTGCCCCCATCCCCTCAGCTCAGCGCCCACTCAGCTCAGCGCCCACTCAGCTCTGTGCCCACTCAGCTGTGTGCCCACTCAGCTCAGCGCCCACTCAGCTCTGCGCCCACTCAGCTCTGTGCCCACTCAGCTCAGCGCCCACTCAGCTCTGTGCCCACTCACCTCTGTGCCCCCATCTCAGTGCCCCCTCAGTGACCCCCATCCCCTCACCTCTGTGCCCCCCATTCACCTGAGTGCCCACTCACCTCATGCCCCCCCTTCACTTCAGTGCCCTCTCACCTCGGTGCCCTCCCTGACCTGTGCCCTCCTCTCACCTCGCTGCCCCCCTGTACCCCACTTTTCCCTCCTCAGCTCCCCCCCGACCTGTGTCCTGTCCCCACTCTCTCCACCTCAGTGTGTCTCCCCGTGCCTCAGTTTCCCCCCCATTCCTCAGCCCCCCAAGGCTGCGGGAATCCTCCTCCGACAGCCACTGCGCCGCCTCCTCCTCCTCGCCCCCCGACGACGCCGTCACGATCTTGATCTCGATTTTCCCTGCGGAGGGGGCCCGGGGGGGTTGATTTGAGGCGGGGGGGGGTTGATTTGGGGCGGGGGAACTCTCCCCTGCCGTCCCCCCCGGCCGGAGCCCTCCGTACCTTCAGCCCGCAGCCCCTCCTTGGCCAGCAGCTCCCGCACCTCGTTCTCCACCTGCGGCAGCTGCGGGGGGCTCTGCTTTTCCCGGGGGGGCTCCCGTTCCTCCCGGGGGGGCTCCTGCTTGCCCCGGAGAGGCTCCCGCTCCTGGGGGGTGTCGCGGCTCCCGACCCTTCCCGTCCGCACCCGCACCCGCCCCTCCTTGCCCGGCCGGGGGCTGCCCTTCCTCGCGGCTCCCCCTTCCTCCTCCTTCTCCTCCTCCTCCTCTTCGTTCTCTCTGCGCCCCCCGGGAGCGGGGGGGGGCCCGGAGGGGTCGTGGCGGGGCTCGGGGGGGTCGCGGCGGGGCTCGGCCCTGTCCAGCCGGTCCATCAGGCGGGTCAGGGTGGACGCCAGCGTGCGCGTGGCGCGGCTCCGGTCGAACTCGCCCTTCAGCCCCTCGGTCTCCAGCTCATCCTCCACCTGCAGCCGGGGTGGGAGGGGGGTCCCGGCCTGACCAGCTGCCCCCCAGAGCAGCTGGCCCAGAAACGCTGTCCCCAGGCTGTCCCCATCTCTGATGGACAGCCCTGACCATCCCATAGGGTTCCCAGCCCAGCCAGGGGGTCCCAACCCTCCCAGGGGTCCCCAGCACAGCCAGAGGAGTTCCAGCCCAGGCAGGGGGTCCCAGTGTCACTGTGCTGCTCCCAGTGCCCCTGTGTGGGTCCCAGCCCGGTCAGGGGAGTCCCAGTGCCACTGTGGGGGTCCTAGCCCGGGCAAAGGGGTGCCAGTGTCCCTGTGGGGGCCCCAGCCCAATCAGGGGGGTCCCAGTGTCACTGTGCTGCCCCGAGTGCCCCTGTGTGGGTCCCAGCCCGGTCAGGGGGTCCCAGTATCCCTGTGGGGGTCCCAGCCTGGTGAGGGGGTCCCATGGCCACTGTGGGGGTCCCAGCCCAGGCAGGGGGATCCCAGCGTCCCTGTGGGGGTCCCAGTGCCCCTGTGGGGGTCCCAGCCCAGGGGTCCCACCTCACTGATGATGCTGTCAAACTCCTGCTCCATCTGGCTCTTCACCTCCTCCTTCAGCCTCGCCACCTGCTCCCGTGGCAGCAGCTCCAGCCCAGCCAGCAGCGGCCCTGCCTCCTCTTCCTCATCCTCATCCTCCTCTTCATCCTCCTCCTCCTCCTCCCCCGTGGGGGGGGCCTCGGGGCCAGGCAGGGCCTCGGGGCTGGGGGGCTCTGCAGGGCTAGGTGGGGCTGGGGCAGCTTTGGCTGCTGCCTCCTCCTGCTCCTCCTCCTCCTCGCTCGCCTTCTCCTTGGCCTGAGGCAGTGGGAAGGAGCTCAGGGGGAAACTGAGGCACTGAGAGGCCCGAGGGGCAGGGGGGAGGTGCCCACCTTCCTGGTGGTCTCCTTCAGCTCCTCGATGAACTGCAGCAGGTCCCCGGGGCTGCGGATCACCTTGAAGTGGATTTTCTTCCGTGGATCTACGAGGGAAGCCACAACAGGGGGGTGGCAGTGGCAGGGGGGGCACGGGGGGACACAGGGGACATGGAGGTGACACGGGGAGGACACCCCAGGACTCACCAGCTGCCCGACCGCCAGCTGCCCTCGGGGATGGCTCCTGCAGGGAGGACACAGGGGATGGAGCAGGACCCTAAATCCCCCCAAAGAGACCCCCAGAATGTCCCCAGGGCCACTGGGACTCACCCTGGTGCTGTCCTGCTGCTCACTGGCTGTGGCTGTCACCTCCTGCTGCCCAGCTGTCACATCCCTGGCTGGCTCTGGCTGGTTCCCTGCCACGGGGGGGACACAGCTGCCACAGGGGGGACACGCCTGCCACTGGGAGCTGCAAGCCCACAGCCAAGGGGGCTCCCAGGAGCAGAGGGGACAGTGGCAGTGCTGTCACCGTGAGCAGGGGACAGGGCCATACCCTCCTGGGGGTCCCCAGGGCTCTGGGAGGGGGGCTCGCTGTCCCTGTCACTCCAGAGCCGCGTGTCCAGCGTCCGCAGCTCCTCCGAGATCTCCTCCACCTTCCTCTTGGTGTCAGCTGGGGACACAGGGGACAGCGACAGCACAGCTGGGGGACAGCCCCAGCTCCACGCTGCAGGGGACCATGGCAGCCCTGTGTCTGAGGGACACGGCCAGCCCTGGCACAGAGGGAACAGTGCCAGTCCCAGTGCCAGTCCCAGGACAGAGGGGACAGGGCCAGGAAGGTGACAGTGCCAGCCTTGGGATGGAAGGGACAGGGCCAGGAAGGTGACAGTGCCACCTTTTGGATAGGGGGGACAGGGCCAGTCTTGGGATGGAGGGGACAGATCCACGGTGAAGAGGACAGTGCCAGCCCAAGGATGAAAGGGACAGGGCCAGGCTGGAGAGGACAAGAGCCAGGCTGGAAGGGACAGTGCCAGCTCTAGGCTGAAGGGGACAGTGCCAGCTCTAGGCTGTAGGGGACAATGCCAGCTCTAGGCTGGAAAGGACAGTGCCAGCCTAAGGATGGAGGGAACAGTGCCAGCCCCAGGCTGGAGGGGACAGTGCCAGCTCTAGGACAGAGGTGACAGTGCCAGCCCCAGGCTGAAGGGGACAGCGCCAGCCCTGCACCAGGGCTCGGTGCCAGCCTCGAGACGGGCAGCACACATCTCCAACCCCACACCCACACCCCCCCCAGGCCTCCCTGGTACTCACAGACTTGGGCACGCACGTACTGGACGTACTGGGCGGGCGACAGGGCGGGCTGGCAGCGGATGGGCTGCGGTGCCAGCCCCGGGGCGGGCCGCAGGAACGGGTGGTGGCAGATGCGCGTGGTGTGCACCGTCAGCACGTACTGGCACGACTGCGGCTCGTCCACGCGGGCAATGTAATCCCCGGCGCCTTCCTCGCACAGGAACTGTGGGCACGGCCCCGGGGTGAGGCGCTGCCGTGCCCCCCGGTGCCCCCCGGTGCCCCCCGTGCCCGCCGTCCTTACCCGGACCTCGGCCTCGCGGGCGCGGCCGGTGAGGTCGCAGCGGGAGCCGTTCACGTAGCTCTGGCTGTGGTAGCGCCTCAGCTGGTGCTGCTTGGAGGCCTGCAGGGGTGGGCACAGGGTGGGCACAGGGTGGGCACGGCGTGGGCGCAGGGTGGGCACGGCGTGGGCGCAGCCCTGCCCCTGCCCGCTGTGCCCACCTTGGCTGTCTCGTCATCCCAGTCGAAGGCAGACTGGTAATAGCCCAGGACCAGGACGTCGCCCTTGATCTCAGATTCTGGGGGGGTGGGCACAGAGTGGGCACGTGTTGAGGGGCGTGGGGAGGGGTCCTCAGTGCCACTGTGTCCCTGCCCTGTCCCCAGGGTCACCTTCCAGGTGGTACTGCTGGATGTGCCGCCCGTAGCAGAACTCGTACGTCCACCAGTCCTTGGTCTGGGAAGAGCAGAGACCTCGGTGAGGCAGGGGGTGCCCCCCCGGCACTCCCTGTGCCCCCTGACACCCCCGTGTCCCCCTGACCCCCCCGTGCCCCCCTGGCACTCCCTGTGCCCCCCTGGCACTAGAGCAGAGACCCCGGTGAGGCAGGGGGTGCCCCCCTGGCACTCCTTGTGCCCCCCTGACACACCCCCGTGCCCCCCTGGCACTCCCTGTGCCCCCCTGACACCCCCCTGCCCCCCTGGCACTCCCCGTGCCCCCCTGGCTGGAGTGGACAGGGCCAGTCCCAGTGCCAGCCTGGGACAGAGGACAGTGCCAGCCCAAGGATGGAGGGGACAAGGACAGGCTGGAGGAGACAGTGCCCCCCTGAGCAACCTGGCACTCCCCATGCCCCCCGGGCACTCCCCGTGCCCACTTTGAGCAGGCAGGGTGCTGTGTCCCCCAGGCACCCCCTGTGCTCCCGTGGCACCCCTCTTGTCCCCCTGTGCCCCACCTTGAGCAGGCAGGGCACAGTGCCCCCTGGCACCTCCATGCCCTCTGGCACACCGGTGCCCACCTTGAGCAGGCAGGGTGCTGTGCCCCCCAGTACCCCCCTGTGCCCCCTGGCACCCCCCA